TCCCAGCTACTCAGGAGGCTGAAGCAGGAGAATGGCGTGAACCCGGGAGGCAAAGCTTGCAGTGAGCCGAGATCACGCCACTGCACTCCAGCCTGGGCGACAGAGCGAGACTCCATCTCAAAAAACAAACAAACAAAAAAACCAAAGGCAAACACAGACACAGTCTCCTTGCTTTGAGGGGCTTCACGTGGGGGATTCCTTGCAGGTGCCATTGGGAATTTACAACCTGCCAGGCTTCCCTCTGCCCCCAACATGGCGCAAGGCTCCCTTGGCTCTTGGGACTTTATTTTTATTTTTTTGAGACAGAATTTCGCTCGTCACCCAGGCTGGAGTGCAATGGCGCGATATTGGCTCACTGCAACTTTCGCCTCCCGGGTACCAACGATTCTCGTGCCTCAGCCTCCCGAGTAGCTGGGATTACAGGCACCCGCCACCACGCCTGGCTAATTTTTGTATTTTTAGTAGAGATGGGGTTTCACCATGTTGGCCAGGTTGGTCTCTAACTCCTGGGCTGTAATCTGCCCGCCTTGACCTCCAAATTGTTGGGATTACAGGTGTGAGCCGCCGCACCCAGCCCACTCTTGGGACTTTACATTACAGCTCATGGCAATGGGGACAGGACCTCCCACGCCTCAGCTCCTGTGTCTTCCCTCTTCCACCCTCAAGTGGCTCACAGGACCCTCCTCTCTCATGGTAGATGTTAATGACCCTGTCAACGCCCTCACTGACCCACACCTATGCGCCTGGGTCAGGAACATCCCTTCCAATGTCCAACTCCCAAAACTCATCCTTGCTCCAAAAGAAAGGCTTCTTGAGGCTGCCTTGCAGACAAAAATGAAATCCACGCAGCCCGGCACGGTAGCTCACGCCTGTAATCCCAACACTTTTGGGAGGCTGAGGTGGGTGGATCACCTGAGGTCAGGAGTTCGACACCAGGCTGGCCAACATGGAGAAACTCTGTCTCTACTAAAAATATAAAAATTAGCCGGGCGTGGTGGAGGGTGCCTGTAATTCCAGCTACTTGGGAGGCTGAGGCAGGAGAATCACTTGAACTGGGAGGCAGAGGGTGCAGTGAGCCGAGATCATGCAACTGTACTCCAGCCTGGGCAATAGGGTGAGACTCCGTCTCAAGAAAAAGATAAAGAAGAAAAAGAAACCAACGTGTTTGGGTAAGGGAGAGTTCAGGGAGGTTGGGGTTGCTAGACCAGCAGAAAGGTCAGCTGTCTCCTCATTCCTCAACAGGGGTGGTGGGTATACACAGAATGGACCCTTGAAGCCAGGCACTGTGGCTCACGCCTGTAATCCCAGAACTTTGGGAGGCAGAGGCGGGATCACCTGACGTTGGGAGTTCGAGACCAGCCTGGCCAACATGGTGAAACCCCGTCTCTACTAAAAATGAAAAAATGAGCTGGGCATGGTGGCGCATGCCTGTAATCCCAGCTACTCGGGTGGCTGAGGCAGGAGAATCGCTTGAACCGGGAGGCGGAGGTTGCAGTGGACCGAGATCGTGCCATTGCACTCCAGCTTCCGTCTCAAAAAAAAAAAAAAAAAAAAGGACCCTTGCTATCTTATCACCACGACCGCGATGCTAACACATAAGTGAGGTCTCTCCCGCAGGGCACTGTGGACACTGGGGCCTGGGTCATTCTCTGGGCTGGGGCAGGGTGCTGAGCTGCATCCCTGGCCTCCACCTACTCCATGCCTGGAACTCCCCCCAGTTGTGACGACCACAGACGTCCCCAGACATCGCCCGGTGTCACCTGGAGGGCAGGACCGCCCCTCGCTGAGACCCTCAGACGTAGCCTTACTGAAGTGCGAGCGTGGCAGCCGCTCTCTGCCTTTAGCGTAGAGTCAATGCGTCTTCTCCCTCTCCTTGCAGGCTGGGCCCCAGGTGCTTATGCGTCTCTCATCCAGGGGTGTCTTCACAGGGCAAGGACAGACCGTGCCATCCTGGGCGCTGGGGCCCTGGGCGAGCTGCCGGCCCCCGACCCTCCCGTGGGGACCCTAACGCGACAGGGTC